AAAAAAAACTAAGAGGCCAGTAGAATGAGGGACACACTCAACTTGCCTTTTGTCACCGCCTAGCCCCCTATGATGCCACCCAGCCTCGTCGAACCTGCCCAATCGTCGAAACCTGGCGCCGAGGCGGCACCGAGCCTGCCTAACCGATTGTTACTGTCGGTTAGACTGAATAGTATGCAATTCGATTTTTTTCTTAATAAAAAAGATATAGTGAAATTAGGTAAAGATACGTGTTATAGTATTTTGCCTAATTCAAAATTCTCAATTTTATGATAAACAATTTTTTTTTGTTTAAATAAAAGATGAGAGAATTTAGACTTTTACAAAATTGTCATGCCGAATTTTACCTAAATTAACTTAATTTCTATGCAAACCATTTTTTTAATAAACAATTGATCTATTGCAATTAGGAAGAGATTTATGCGATAGTATTTTGTCTAATTCGAAATTCTTAATTTATTGTAATTAGATTTTTATTAAAAAGTGTGCAAAATTTTTGACTTTTGCAAAATTGTAAACATCAGTCGAAACTTACCTAAATCAAATTTACAAAACCCATAAACTTAGGGCGCATATGTAACTGCTCGATTTTTTGTGAATAATTTAAAAAAAAAAAATTAATAAACTGCCAAAGATAGAATGCAATAAATGTTGGTTGACTTTACTTGTTACTAGTTTTAGTAAATAGGTTCTCTCGTTATATATATGGTATAAAGTGGACGAATTTATTTTTGGTATTGATGATTGTTTCTATGGGACATAAAATAATATATATATATATATATATATGTATAATTAATAGCTGATGTATTTAATAAAACATTTAATAAAGCGGCTCTTGAAAGCCGCTTTGGTTGTATGACTTTACGTTTTGATCAATATAAATTTATTTAACGATTAAAAAAAACTATTTTTATTTCCCTTCAAAAGGAGTTATATTTTTTTTAATTAATTACTCACTAATCTGCTAAAACCATTACATCTTAATATATATGATATAGCCATACTGCCGTTGAACGGTTCAACAACCATCACGGTTCGAAATCATCGAGTCGACTCATACACAGTCGACTTGACCAGCAAAGTTCCACGATAATCAGGCAAGAGCCCCGGCTCTCGACCGAGTCGACGTGCACCTGTCGACTAAGATAAGTCGATCTCTGGCAAGACAGCGGTCAGACGTGTTAAGGTCCACTAACGGATGACCCCAGCCTAGTCGACTCGACACGATATCTCAGGTCGACTGAAGGAGTTTAGGGGGTCGTGGCTCTTGACAGCTTCGACACACCTCAGCATATTGGAGAAGAGTTAAGGATAAGAAGGAAGCTGAGGAAGGATCTAGATGCTGACTAGGAATTAGGCGGAATATGAACCGACCGGGGTATTCTGGACATTTCCATTAAGTCGGCCGGGGCATTTTGGAGACTTCAGGTAAGTATTGCACTCCTATATAAAGGACTGAGGTAATCCAAAAACCCTAACTCCCATTCATTCTACACATTCCTCCATTGCTGCTGCTCTCTGAAAGTAGCTTTTCTTCATCTTCCACATACTGTCTTGAGCGTCGGAGGCTCTACGCCGGGAACCCCTCCGGCGTTGAGTTCTTGCAGGTGTTCGTGCGGTCCAGCAACGGCTCGAAGGTCATCAGGCCAGATCTAAGCTCATTCATCCCGGTTCATCCCAGATCCGGACGTTTTCTCATTAAACCGTTCCAGATCTGAGAGCAGACCCATCATTTGGCGCCGTCTGTGGGGAGCTCTTGAAGGAACTAAGGGATTTGCACCTAGCTTGGATCTGTTTCCGATGGCTGAGAAGGAAGGAGTGCAGAAAAACTTGAACGAGGACTTCAGGGCAACATGGACGGACAAGCGACCTCCGCCGATTCCCAGCTTTAGACCACCGCTCCAGGTGCTGGGATTCCCACCTTTTGGGGCACACGCGCCGTCAGGAGGGCATACGGGAGAAGAGACGCCTATTACCCCACCCGGAGTCAAGATCCCGGTTTTCACGCAGGGGGAGGCCAGCCACGTGAGGGACACGAGCGGAGAGACAGGTGATCACGCATCAACCGAAATCTCTCTAAGGATGGGGAGGCAGCCCGGGCGACTCGACCATGAGATAAGGCCACCATCCCAGAGCGAGGAACAAACGCTGACCATGACGAGAAGCGAGATGCAGAGAATGATCGCGGAGGCGGTGGCGGCCCAACTCAAACGGACACCAGTCGAACAACCAAGGGTCGAGCGGCCCAGGATCGAACAAACGAGAGTTGAACAACCCCAAAACGAACAGCAGCCCCCTGAGCGCGAACAGCAGGCACAATCGCATGAGAGGCAAAACAGGAGGATAGACGAGGAGGAGTCTTCTGTCAGAACCGTCAATCCACAAGCCAGAAACGACACGCTGGAACAGCTGTTAGCGCAGGTCCGGGA